CTCTCTCTCTGTGATTGCTCTCAGTCATGATGATCCCTTCAGAATGAGACTTTCTCCATAGCAGGAAAAACGGGTGGTTGATTAGACTGACTGAGTAGATATTTTATTTTCTCTGTTAAGGAGTGAATCCTGGTGTTCTCCTGGTTTCAAAAATGCAAACCAAGCCTATCATTGACTAAACATCCCCGGCATCAGCCTCTTTCCAACTTACTCACAAGGTTACTGAACCGTGTAGAGAGACATAAACCTTAACCTCGACATTCTTATCATGCATTAAATCGCCATCTGTGATCTAATTTATGACTTTGCTGCCTTGAAGTGTCTTAGTCCTTCACAGGCCTGGGTAAAGGGAGCCTTAACCAGCAAGTTCAGTGTTTGATGACGTGACCGCTAGGTGGCAGGGTACCTCTGCTGATGTGGAAGATGGGAGGACTCATTGCAGTGGGTTCTGAGAGAATCCTTTTGTGATCTGTGTTCCATTTTGTTGATAATATTTTCCTTTTTCTCACACCGAAATAGAAATACAATGAATTTTTGCCTAAAGAGAGTACCTTTAAATTATGACTATCCATACATGTGTGTATACTGTATGTGTATATGGGTATATGTGTATGTGTACATATGCGTGCATATACAGATCACACACACAACATGTATCCACACATAACCGTCAATGTTTTATAATATATTTTCCCTTGCATTTTCCTTCTCCTTGGGTGTATGTTTTATCTGACTGTTGTACTCTCTCTAGAGTTAACTCAGTGACTAGTTGAAGCAAACTACAGACCAGTTAAATGTCAGGACAGCAGTTCCAGAGAGTTTATTAAATGAGCTGGTGAACTACAGTTCTGATGAACCTTCATAAGATGATTAAATAAGTCCATCCAAGAAAATAACCAGAACATGAACTCACAACATTCTTCCTCAGAGTCTTTGCGCCTGATCTTCCCTCTGCCTGGAGGGTTTTGCAGTTATTGTCTATAGGGATCACTCATTCACTTCTTCCTAGTCCCTGTTTCTGGAAACATATGATCCTGTTAGTAAATAAGAATGTTTATGAAGTTTATTGCAGTGTTATATTTCATAGGTAAAGGAATCAACCTCTTAAGTGTTTGCTAATAGAGAATGGTATATTTTCCCTCAAATGACATTTTACAAGCAAAAACTGGTCCTTTTAAACCTCACATCAGCAGTCAGGTAATTTCTGTAGCAAGCATCCGCATTTCCCTTATCAGGACATTGGGGTGAGTGGGCTGGGGAGCTGGTGCATCTTAATTAATCCTTGTTGATTTTTTTCACCTACCACTGTAGACCCTGGTAGACAAAGATTTCCTGATGGTCCCAGCTGTTGAACAGTTAAGAGAACAGAGAGCATGGGAATCAGTCAAAGGCTGAAGATAGGGACCCTGTGTCTGGGAAGTTCACCTCAGGTTTTCAGTTTTGCCACTCTGTTACTTCATAATGTTGGAGCCCAGAATATAAACCCACACTGATGATGATAATCACCCTGAGCAGAGCTACAGGAACAGTAACAACACTCATCTTGTGAGCCTGGAAGGTCAACAGAACATCATCCCATCAGCTGGTTTCAAATAGAAATTTTTTATGGTACTTAATACCCCAAATCCATTAACTTGTAATTAATTCTAGTACAACTAATATTCTATTTTTTTATGATTCTTCTCTGGATAGGAAAGAATTACATGACCAAGGGCAGTACAAGAAGGGAGGAAAAAAACAAAAACAAAGAAGGAGATACATATGGAAGGAACAAATGAAAAGACAGTAGTTTGAGGACAGTGTGTGCCCCTACCAGAATCTGTGGGTCCTTGTGTGGGTCCCAACGGGAGAAGAGGAGAGGGAAATTAGAGTGTATACATCCTAATTTTCACCAACACTTGTTGGAATCATTTTCTATGCATGTCCTGAATATATTTTCTTCTTCAGTATACAATGCAACATATCAGAGAATTCCTCTTTCAGAATTTTCATATAACTGAACTAGAATTTAGGCCAAAGTAGCCTGGGACATGAGGCATCTCCCCTCCAGCTCTGCTTCAAGGCTTCATTACTTTTCAATGCAAAATTAACCCGTTGAGACACTGATTTTGTAAAGATTTATTTATTTATGCATACAGACACTGATTTTGTAAAGATTTATTTATTTATGCATACAGAACTGGGATACAAGCCAGAGGTTCAGGGGCTATGAGAGGTTTCACCAGAGACAGAGTGGGGAGCAGAACAGATTGACCAAGTACACTGCTGAAGGGAGCAGTGGGCAGGTCAGGGGAGTTCTGCTGTGCCATGTGGGTCACCTCAGGGGTGAGGATCGAACTCATGCTGAAGAGGCTTTAACTTCTTACTGCTGTGCTGTAAACCTCTGTGCCCCCAGGGAGGACATGAGACAGTGATTATTTTTGAAGTTGTTTCTCACACGTTAACCCATACACTTTTCTCACATAATGTGTTTTGAGAAAAAAAAAAAAAGAAATTTTATAACCTCATATATACCCCCCTGCACTGTTTGCTCCCATAGTTGTTGAGATTATTGTGTAGTCTCACAGGGCCGCTGTGGGTGGGGTTTCCTGCTCAGGTGGTGGCAGAGCTCAGATGGCATTGGTGCTCAGTGATTCTGTGGACCATGTGGGCTGTGATTGCCTGCACCCAAGTTTGGACAGCTTCTAGGCAGG